GAGGTTATCCATCTTCCTCTATCAGGGCACCCGGGAATTGACATGCCTACACAACCTATAAACAGATTCTACAGATTTTTTATTCATATGTAGTGGGCACATTTACCAGTTTTATGTAATTGGTTACGTGTTGAAATGATACTATTAAACAGGATCTACAAGATGAGCACAACTTGAATGACAGCCTGATTTCAAAGGCGCGCATGTACATAAAATATTTATACAACCTTTCACCCCTCTTCTTATTTTCGCCCAGTGACTTGAGCAGATATCATTCTAATCGATATAAGTGATTATTTGGCATGTTAGCTTAAAATAGATTTACGGAAAACCGAGTTCGCAGGGTACAGCTTACCTCGTTTAATTTTCAGCTGTGCCAATTCCTCCTGTGTTGCGGCGTGTTGAACTTGAAGTGCTCGTAATTCTTTCTCGAACATGTTTCGCAACAACTCCATATCACGCTGAAAAGTAAAGATGCCAGTTCACACAACCACATTATTACTGGGATTATTTTTTACAAGATAACTGAACAATGGCAACATTTCTTCTATGAAATAGTTGACAGGAATCTCCGTATGAGTTACGCGTCTCTTTAGCCTACGAATCTGACCCTACATTCCTTTTGGTAAATGTATTTGCGTAAGATTTTAATGCAAAGCGGACATGAAACATGATTAATTTCAGCCTCCGGTACTTAGTAAAAAAACAGATTCCCTTTGAATTTAATAATTTTGTGTGAATTTCCGTCTTTACTGTCCGATCCCCGGTCAAATATAACACTTACAGCCTTGAATCCACCTGATGTTGAATCTCCAGGGATGCAATCAATTTTTATGAATGGGGCCGCAGCTAATCGAGAATCTGCTAGGAAACAGAAACGAGGACCCATGAACCAGCGGTTCCTGCCTTCATCTTTGCCGACGACGTTAAACTAGTGAGCCCAGGACCTGTAGATCAATTAGAAGCTGCTCTGGCTAACTTTTGTCCGGTGGACACAGAAATGGGACCTGGAGCTAAACGCTATCACGTGTCGCGTTCTAAACACCGTGGGGCTTCCGGTTCGAGTGGCTACGACCACGGAATCGGCGGTTTTCGCTCGAATAGACTGAATGCTGGATCTGGGAATTTTGGTTCGCGAGGACTTTAAGCCCAGTGGTCAATACCTGGCCGCCGCACAAAAAGCGAGGGAACAATTGTTCCAGCTTAAGGCGGCCCTGTCGTCACGGAAAGTTGAGGTTTTCTTACCTGTATATAAGGCCATAGTTAGACCGCAGTTAGAATACTACCTGTGGGACTGGGCACCTTACTAGAGAAAAGATAACAATTGCATTGAGAGGGTGCAACGGTTCGCCAATAGGATGATCGCGGGAATGACTGGTCAATCACAGCCTGTTTACCTGAGCACCGCTCGAGTCAACAAGGGGGCATCATTTGAAGCTAATGAAGCCCAGGAGCCGGCTCAATCTTATGTACAACTTCTTCACGAGTAGAGTAATAGATGAATGGAACCAACTATCATTTTATTGCTGGACTGTCGGACAGTCGATGAGTTCAAAAGGTAACTAGATGGGGTCTGGATCAGCCTCTATCCAGAGATTTTGTAGGATGCCTACTATTGACAGTAGGTGTTCCATGCAGCCTATTTCCGAATAACCTCCATTTGCAGATACGGATCCGATAACGGAGGCTGTTCCGGACGAAGAAATCGGCCATAGTCAAACGGTTGACAATAAATCGAAGCCCTGAAAGAACGTTGGTACCAGTTGGAGCAAGAATCTGGATGCTCGGTTGGCGAAAACCTTTATCGTCCGTGCAACCTGACCTGATCCGCAGCTATAGTGTAAATCGGATACAAGGCCTTTGGTCAGTTCAGTTTGTAAAATCACTAACCATGCACTTTCGTGCGCCGGTTTTGGTGGCTGTCTTTTAAATGCCCATTTGAATGAAGCAGTAGGAGAAAGACAGTAAAGTTGAAAGTAGAATCGAATGGAAAGTGAATAATTTCATTGGACTAATGTTTCAAACTAATTCATAAGATTCACGAACGCTACCGTTAAGACACTCATCCATATCACTCAGTGTCTCTACCTATCAGGCGCGATTTTCTCGAGGTCCCTATCTAGGGATTCCAACGAAATCTATATGAGCCAGTCCCCTGGTTAGGGTTTTCATACCCAAAGGTCAGGCCCTAGCTTGACCGCTCTTGACTTTCTTCCACTCACTACCTGCCTCGACGAACATCGCTTGCTGTGGCAACCTCTTTGGTGACATACCTAACACATGTCCAAACCAACGTAATCTATGGACCACTTGCACCAGTGGACGACCGTGACCGCCTAAGACTCTACGCCTAACCTCAGCATTGCTCGTCCGGCTGCCTCACCAGATTCGTGCAATGCTGCGTAGACAGAGGTGTTCCAACACCGAAAGTCTATCTTTATCCTGTTTCCGTAATGGAAAAGTTTCTGTTCCATATAGTAGAACTGGCCGTACTGCCACGACATACACTCAACCCTTCACATACAGCCAGAAATCGCGACTGCACCACACAGGTCTCAAGTTGGTAAATGCCAACCAATCTTTCTGTATGCAAGCTGACACTTCACCTGCGATGCATCTACCGAGTAAGATGTAACTGCCCAAATAAGAAAACTTATCTACCTGTTCTATTACTTCTTCAGGTTCCAGATGACGGTTTAATCCTACTGAGATTATTCTCTCATGCTAGTATCCATAGTCATGTACTAAAAACGTTGGGAACGTTCATATAACTACTCACAAGTAGTTGTTATCGAATCAGAAATTTAAAATATGCTTTCGAAACGTCCATTTTCTAAACATAAACACAACACAGTGTGGTAGAGTCAACTGAAGTTCTGTTCTTGATGGCGAATTGTGAACAGTATTTGCAATCAATGAAAGATCTTTATCTCCTAAATGATTCAATCCTCAGTATCAACATTGCATATTGTTTGTCGAAAGTACGATGGCATTCATGAACTCTGTGCCGCTACACCCCATTATACATGCATCTTGCTTTTTTTTCTTTTCATTTTACTTCCTTTTATTGAATACACAAAGATACAGTTTTCAGGTAGGGAGAGGTGCTGTGATGGTTTGTTTCTTGTCACCGGTATCCACTGAACCGTCAGTGCCACTCAACTTTGGCGGTAAGCAGTCGACCTGTTCAGTACCACGCCTAGCCTAGCAGGGCCTTATGTGGTTCACTCCACTCCAAGCCCCAAGGCTAAGGTTACCGGTTTTCATCTGTGAACAGCAAGTATTCGTGATACAGTGGACCAAATCGTTCCCAGTGCTTCACACGAATCTGTGTAATGGACGAAAGTTCTTTGCTAATGATCCGGTGGAACAATGAGACAAGGATTCCATGGAATCAAACTAATATCCGGTGTCAAAGTTCAGAGCACAATAAAATTTGAATAAATAGTGTTAAAGTTTTACTCACTCTATGCTCTTCAATCATTACTGCCGACCAGTCCGGTTTAGGCGGTTTCTCGTCCTCGATCACAGCTTTGTCAACGGATTCCACCGGTTCGGACACCTCAATCGGTTTCATAAACATCAACGGTTTGATCGGAGAGTTTCGACCAGTGGACGATTTTAGCTGTTGTAGCAACTCTCGGACATCACGCTCCAGTTCTGTAGTCTGGACATATTGTCAGATCAAAATGGTATCACTCGAGAAATTTCAAAACAATACTTTAAAGAGGAGACATTGTTCTATGAATGAAAATCAGCACACAGAAGGTTGATAGCTAGTAAAATGAGAATTATACAAATTAAACAAAATCTTGAATTTTCTTCAGTACAATCAAAAAGTAGCTGAGCTGGAAACAAAACATTTGGGAAAGAAACTGGAGATCGTACGAATGAGCTGGCATTCTACAAAATGACATACAATCAGACGGTTCCTAACAAACGATCTTGTTTGGAAAGAGGCAACAATAGGTGGCATTGATGTACTGATATTAAGTGATCAAAAGACTGAAATAGAAATGAAAAACAACTGATGAGTCTTCACGAAAGACGGTATGTTCGAATTTTCAATTTCGACGATAGGATTCCAATCTGAACAAATCTGCTACCCTGTAAAAGCCCGCTTTTTCTTGATGCTCAAAGTAAAAACGCTGTTAGGATGTGAGTCAGGTAGCTATGACACGTGCGCGATATTTGGTTATCTGTGAAGGATCGACCGAATGTCACACCTGTCCCACCCAATTCTAATGTATACCTGAATAAAAGAGCGGGGGAGGGAGGATAAAAATAGACTACCTATTGAGACTCAGATACCGTTCACTGTGCAGCATAAATGTGTAACCAGATAAGCAATATCAAGGTGGAAGCACGAAACTAA